ACATGTCACTCTTGCTGGAAACCAGCTCTGAGCACAGCTCCCCTGCACCCCAGGGCCCCTCCTGCCTCTGAACCAGACAGGCCAGCGCCTGGGCCTGGCTCCGGGCAGCACCCTGACCCAGCACCCTCTCCTGCTCCTCCAGGCCCAGCCGGCCTGTCCAGGGTGCCGACAGCTGGAGCCTCTCCCTGCAGAGCTGCACGCAGACTGGGGCAGGGCCCTGGGGCAGCGCCCTGGGGCGGTGGCCCAGCCCAGGGACCTACTGTTTCCTGAAAACAGCCCTGGCCCTGCCCGCCCAGAGGACACTCCCCTGGGAAGAGGGTGGCTGGACGGGCCTCCCGGGGCCTGGCTCCTTAAGACACTGCCTGGGCCATGGGGGCGGCGTTGGGGGGCATAGTCTCCCTGAGCACCCCCACTTGGAGCCCCCCATCGGTCACTCATCCCTGAAGACGGGGCCTGGGACCCATGCAGCGAGGGCTGGTCCGGGCGCACTGGCCTGCCCAGGACAAGGACAGACGCGGAGGCCAGGACCCCTCACCCACTGCCCTGTGGCCACTGGGTGGTGGGGGGCGCGGCCAGTGTCCCCACACAAGGTCACCGCCAAGAGGCTATTGCAAAACCCACACACAGCAGCGCCGCTTCAGGAACGGGGTGAGCTCTGCGCAGGGGCAGCACCGCAGCCAATGAGGTTCATCCCAGGCGCGTTTATTGCTAATCGGAAAAAAAAGAAACGGGGTGAAAGGGCACGAGGGAGCCCCTCTCTGCAGCCCCGCCCCAGCCTTTGACCCCGAGCGGCCATGGGCTCCTCTGTCCGCTGCCAGCGGCCCCTCCACGCCCTGCCCTCACCCCACGCCCTCCCCTCACCCCGACGCGCCGCTCCCAGAGGAAAATTCCAGCCGCCACCCTTCCTTCCCCGGACCGAGGCGGGACCCCAAGGGCCAACCCTGGCCCCCCCATCGCAGGGCCTCCCCTTCCAGGGCAGAGGAAGGACACGGAGGAGGGACCGGCCGGG